GTTCCATATGTGACTGAGCCAGCAGGCGCCCCTCTGACGCGCACTGCGGGAGTGCCGGGGGGCTCCGAGGGTCTGCACCCAGTAGGAGGCACAGAACCGCGTGTGCACACAGCAGACGCCAGCTCCCGGGGCTGGTGCCGTTCTGCAGAGACGGAAGATGCTCTCTAGCGGGGAGACTGGGCGATGTGTTCATGGGACCTCTCTCTACTATTCTTGCATTTTCTTATGAATCTGTAACTCCTTCACAATAAAAAGTTTAAAAAAAACCTGTTGTTTTGTCTTCTGCTACCCTGGGGTATTTACCCTCACAGACTTGTAGATGAAACGAACAGACTCCAACACTATTTCATGTCGAGCTCTAAGAGAGTGATTTAACAGAGGCCATCCTGGCACAAGGCAATCATCTGGGGTGTAGCTATAAGCTCCGGAACAAGCGAGAAGGTTCCCACGAGGCAGACAGCTGGTGCGAAGCCCAAGCACGTCCCCGGCGAGCCCAGAGCCCCCAGTCTCCGACTGTGTGAACTCGTGGAACCTCCCCCGCCCCGTGGTCTTCCCAGTGAGACCCAATGCGCAACAGCAGGACGGAACGGCTGACACCCGCCGCGGCAGCCCAGGTGTCTGTGGACATTCAGCACCGGGACAGACACTGACGAGCATTCTCCCTTGCACCGGGGACCCGCCAGACACCTGGTACGAGGATGAATGAGACGCAGCCCGCAGACCCCCTGCTGATCAGACCCGTGCCTTTCTGAGCACCTTCTCCTCTTAAACCAATGCTGCTTAGACCCAAAGAAGGAATTCTTCATTGGGAGGAAAGAGACAAGTTCATCCAGGTGGCAAGACCTTCTTGGAGCACAGATGTGACATAAATTTAAGAATAAAGAGCAGGCACAGGAGAGAGAGAGAGAGCTAGAAGGTTCTGGCTCCTCGGTGGCCCATCCACTCTGGGACTGCAGAGGCTCCCAGAGCACACGACCACCAAGGTGGCAAGACAGGCTAGGACTGGCCGGGACTGGCTGCCGGAGGCTGAGTGGGAGCAAATGCAGGCTACAATGGTGCCAGAAACAGCACCCGTGTCCCCTCCCGCCCAGTGCTGGCACACAGGGACAGCTGTCTCCCCAAACTGAGCCTGAGTTCTAAAGGTCGGAAGAAGCTGCCTGGGAGCGGCCACCTCAGGGAAGGGATTGCATCTGACTGCTTCAGAGCATCTCCCTAGTGGCTCCCTCACTTGCCTGCGAGGGCTCACTGGTCCCGATTTACAGAGGAGGAGACCAGAGAGGCAGGAGTGGCTGCACTGAGGTCCCATGGCCGGTGGAGACGGAGCACAGCTGAAACCTAGAACTCCCAGCCCCAGCCTGGCCAGATCCACGTGCCTCAGGCCAGGGCTTGCACTGGTGCCTAGAAGTGGGGGCGCTCAGGAGGGCCGAGTCCCACGCTCTTGTTTCTCAGCCAGGAGCCTAGACTGACCCCGGCTGACCTTGCTCATGCATCCAGGCCCCTCTAATCAGAACCAACCTTCGTGCATTTCTCTCTGCTCTGGGGAGGCTCCGAGAAGCTGACGGGCATTAGGAAGAGCCAGGTGACACGAGAAGTCTGATTCGCCAGATGGCTCTGGACTCATAGGCTGTCCCAGCAGCAACAGGGATCAGAGGACACTTAGGTGCAGAAAAAGCTGGGTCCCCGCACCCTGGACACTCTGATTTCGAGCTCTAACAGTCGTTCTTCTGGTTGACACACAGTTGTGGTGGGCAATTGTCACGGCCAGTGGAGGCTCAGGAGGGAGGCAGAGTGCCATGCACTTAGCGGGTCTTCTTCGGACCTTCCACACAGCCTTTGGGGACCCTGGAAAAGCTGCCACTTGTCCCTCAGGAGAGGTCCAAGATGGTGTCTGCTGCTTTTTAGACTGACTCGTTGCCCAGATTTAAAAACTGGGAGATTCATACCGCGTGGGTGGCTCAGTGGGTTAAGTTTCTGCCTTCATTTGGCTCAGGTCATGATCCCAGGGTCCTGGGATCGAGCCCCACATCAGGTTCCCAGTCTCCCTCTGCCTTTGCCACGCCCCTGCTTGTACACACACACACACACACACACACACACACACACTCTCTCTCTCTCTCTCTCTCTCTCAAACAAATAAATAAAATCTTTAGAAAAAATTCAAAAAATAACAAAATTTGGGAGAGTCACACAAAAATCGCAGTAAGAAAAGGGACTTCTTCAACCAATATGCTGGTTGGTGCTGGTTAACAAAGATTAGGGCTGAGGCCTCCAGATCTGTGTTCCAGCTAAACCTTAATTCCTGGCTCAGGATCTGGCACCCCAGGGCCTTTGGGAAGGGTGAGGCACGTGGCCTCAAGGCTCCACCGTACAAGTAATTTGAGGTCCAGTATCTGAGATGCTCTGAAGGCCTCCACTCTCCCCACCAGCACATTTCCTAGGGCTGCCCTCTGCATGAGATCCAAACTCCTACCTACACTCTACCAGCCTCATGGGGTCTGGGCTCTGCCAGACTCCCTTCGTCCTGGGCTCCTCTCCCCTTGGCTCTCGGTGCTTCACCACCCTACCCTTCATTCTGCTTTTCACCAGAGCCTCGTCCATTCCTACCTCAGGGCCTTTGCACACACACTGCCTGGCATGCTACCGCCCCCCAAAACTCCTCCCATGGATGGTCTTGCTGGTCATCTGTTTTCAGCTCACATGTGGCATCTGCCTACTCCTGTCCATTCCTCTGGCTTCCTTCTTTCCTCCTCAGCAGCCCCATCTCATCACAGCTGAAGACGTGGGCTGGAGTCCTGACTCTGCCACTTCCCTATGGTGTGACCTTGGGCAAGGCTCCTAACTTGACTGCTTTGGCTTCCTCACCTGTCACAGGGTTATAATATCCCTGCCTCACCAGGTCGCTGCAAGGACCTGGCTTGGAGTGAGCACGGGACCCGACAGCAGCCAGTGTTGCTGCCCCCACACTGTCACGTGGCCCCCACCTACTCTTCTGGCTGATGCTGAGGTTTGTCTTGTGGCACCTGTAGCCAGACCAGGCCCCGGTCACAAACAGACACAGCTGCGGGCTCTCATCTTACACCGCACCGGCTCCCCTTCCTGCCCTCCTCGCCTGCAGGGGCCTGGCGACCTCACCTGGAGCCCCGCTCATGGGAAAGCCGCTCTTCAAAGGAACAGAGCACATACAACCGGGCTGGAGAGGAAGCTCAGGCCACCTTGGCCTCAGGGACTTTACAGCTTGCTCAGAGCAGTCCCCCTGTAAAACCCCCTCCTTGATGAGAGCAGGATGCCCCTCCCACCACCGCCACTCACTCACTTCCCCATAAATCTGCTTCTTATAAAACTCGACTTGGGCGCCGGGTCCTCTTCTTGGGCGCTCGACCCCACAGCCCCACAGCCCCACAGGGCGGCCTCACGGGCACGGGCTGCCGGGGGGTCCACGCAAGGCAGCTGCGGCGAGTGGCCAGGGGCCACAGTGCTCGGCCTTTGCATCCTTCTGGGGACACAGCGGTGTGGGGACCACCAGGCCGGTCTTGTCTCTGAGGAAAATGCCTAAACAAGCACCAAGTACTGAAAGGCAGACAGGAAAGTAGGTTTGCTTCTTTGCTTTGGGCTTTATACTTTTAAGTATTTCCCTCTTTTCTTTCTCAGGAATTGCTCTCTGGTAACAATCACACCCAGCGCCCCCGAGCCCCGCCTTGCAGCCTCTGTAGCTCTAGTGCGCGGCACACCTCACACCCGAGCTCCCGTCCCATCCTCCAAAGACCCCAGTGGGTCAGTGCCACATGTCCACTTTGTGGGTGAGGAAGCTCAGGGGTTCAGGGCGGTAGGGGCTTCCCCGGCCGGGAGCAGCAGAGCTGGGGTCACACGTATCAGGCTGCCCCGGAGCCCAGGATTTGTCCCCTTTCAGTGTGAGCCCCTCCCTGGCCTCCTGCCGGTGCCGCAGACTACAGGCCAGTCCCCTCGAACACCTCCTCCTTGGGGACGGGGCTCAGGCTGGGGCCATGTGGCTGCCCTGGCCTCCTTCCCCATCTACTCTTTTTTTTTTTTTTTCCTTACTAAACTTTTGTTTTAATGGGTCTTAAAATTCTATGACAAATTTCTGGCCAAGTTGTTTCCATTAAAAAGTACTGACTGAAAAATGGATAACTTAAAACCACCACTCTCTTGACCACACACAAAGGCCAGGCCCCAGGAGTGTGGGCTCTTGCCCTCGCCCACAGCCCACTCTGCTGTGGCGCACAGCCCGCCTCGGGATTCCAGACCTTGCCTTTATGTTAAGAGGGATAGGCCTCCAAGCCTCCGCAGATGCTGTTCCCTCCACCTAGAAGCCCCTCTCCTCTAGGCACGTGGGTCCTGCCTTCTGGCCCTCTGTCTCACCTCACGGTCCTGCTGCCCTGGGCCCAAACTCTCAGGAGCCTCCCCTGAAATCAAGGCCCTTCACCTGCTGGCCTTGGCTGGAGGCCAGGCTCGGTCCCAGCCTGGGGCTGTGCCCAGCCTCCTCCGGCACTCCGGCTGGCCCGCCCGCACCCCCCCCCCCCAAGCATCCAGACGGCAGCAGGCTCCCGGCCACAAGGACCCTCTGCTGGCCAGTGACCCGGTGAACGTGCGGGGACCGAGAAATTGGCACTCGGCCTGGTCAGGCCTCCAGCTCACCCTGGGGAAGGGGACCGTGGGGGATGGGGCCCCACTCATCCTGGCCGCAGCCAGCCTTCAGCCCAGAAAGGAAAACAGCTTCTCTGGTCACATCTGCCCATTCGTGGCCCCACCTTGTCTCCACATAAAAACACCGGGAACACCGACAGCCACGGCGCGGCGGGCGGAGCTGGGAGGAGCTCCGTGCAGAACCAACACCAGAAGCACAAAACAGCCATTCAGGCCACCACCAAAATTCCCTGCCCGGACCCTGAGGCCCCCGGAATCAAGACGCGGCGAAGGGAGTTTCCAGGGGCCGCCTGTTTCTGGGGGGCGGGGGGAGCCCGGTCAGCACGGGCAGTACTCACCGTTGGAGCGGTGGATGCAGGTATGCTGGTTGTCGCTGAGGAAAAAGCCACTGTGGCACTGACACTCGTAGCTACCCATGGCGTTGACGCAGATCTGCTGGCAGCCGCCGTTGTTGTCCTGACACTCGTCCACATCTGCAAGGACACAGAGAGGGACACGGATGTGATCAGTTTCCCCAGGCTGCACAGCAGGCACTGCCCGGAGCGACACTCCAGTGACCCTCCACAGAGGTACTCCATGTGGTACTCCTTGGCGGTACTGCACAGAGTGATGCTACAGCAACACTCAGAGGTACTCCACACGGTACTCCACAGCAACGCTACACAGAGAGAACTAGGGATACTGCACAGAGGTACCCTGTGCGATACTCCACGGAGGTATATCCTCAGTGATACTCCACAGAGGTACCCTGTGTGATACTCCACGGAGCTGCATCCTCAGTGATACTCCACAGAGGTACCCCGTGTGGTACTCCACAGCGACACCACACAGAGCTATACTGCAGTGACCCTCTCTAGTGGTATTCCACAGCAGGACTCTATGGTAGTACTCCATGGACATACTCTACATGGTACTCCATAACAGTACTCCACGGAGTTACTCCATAGAGGTAGAGAGTTACAATGGTTGTAATGCCAGCTGACCCTCAGCATCCTGTGTGACCCGTGCCGTTGCAAGTATCTGACCTATCCTAACTCCTTTAACCCTCACGGCAACCCCGTACGTCAGATTCCGGTAGTAGCCCATTTTATAGATGAGGAAATTCAGGTCCAGAGGGGCCAAGTCACCTGTCCTGAAGTCCCACCTGGCAGCCTGACTCCTAGACTGTGATCTTACTGACGCTGCCGGCCTCTCCCTCTCGAGGAAGACTGTGCAACCGGCGCTGTCTACCCTCGACACACGGAGCCTCTCCAACCCAACTCTAATGCCCCCTTTTTCTTCAATCACACCTCAGATTCACAACCAGTAACACAAGACCTGGCAGCCGGGGAGAGGCTAGAGGACGGGTCAGCCTGCCTTCTGCCTCACAAATTGATTTCAAAAGTCTAGAGAACGGGGAAGTTTTTCAAAGGCCCTGACCTCTGGTCGCCAAGGCAGCCACGGAAGGTCGCCAAACAGTCTTCCCCACTCTCCGGGAGAGACAGACCTTCGGGTCGACACTCATTTTTGACCAGAGGCCGCTGGCACAAAGGGTGCTCTTGGCTGAAAAGAGTCTTTATGGAGTTCTGGTCTTGAAGAGAACAGCATGTTTCAATTACCAGAGTCATAAACCCCTGCACTGTCGGTTTGTTTAATGAGAGACGGGCTTCTTAAACCTTAATGTGCCACGTCTGTATTGTCATTTTTACAGGCAAAAACATGAAACCACAAGGGCAAGGTGAGCTACTGGCTGCTTCTAGCCGATCCCCTGCCCCCCAGCACGCACTTACACAGACGCGCACACACACGCTTTGGTAGTAAGCTTTTCACACGGTTCTTTTAAACACAGCTGTCGTTTAGCACTGGAACGAAAAGAATGTGGATATTCTTCACATCTGCCCAGGTCAGAAGCCCCGGGCAGACTGACCTGCGTGGAACCAGAAGAGGACTCAGCTCTGGAACGGTGTCAGCTGGGTCCCACTGAGCCTTAGGGATGACAGCCGCTTCGCCACCCGAGAGACCACACGGCTGCCTCTGAGGCCGGGGCTGAGGCCGGGGCTGAGGCAGGCCGTTGTTCTCCGGCAAGCTCAAATGTCGGCTGTGCGGCAGCCTGAAGGGGGCAGAGCTCTGAACTCTAAAAGCTACCAACCGTTAGAGCTGAAGTGGGGAAGGCGACTCTTGCTGAGGGGAGACCGAGTGCGCGTGCTCCCAGGGGAGCCGGGAAGGCCAGAGAGGGATTATTCTGAAAACTTCACAGACTCTGACTTAGTGAGGGCTCCCTCAAGGCCCAGTGCCAGTGTCACCCTTGGGGGGCACCTCCCCTCCCCCTCAGTAGTGTCTGCCTCCGGGGATCTGTCCCCTGCCTGCACTAGACCATGAATGGCTCTAAGCCGGGCACCAAGTCCTGCTCGTCCTACCAATAACAACGCAAAGCGAACATCCCTCAAGCGCTCATTACGTGCCGGCACGGGCCTCACAGATACCAGCTCACTCCATCCTTGTTGCCGCCCCGACGGGGATGCCTCCGTTGTGCAGATGAGGACACCAAGACACAGACGGCCAGAGTCACTTGAGCAAAATCGCACAGCTGCTCGGAGCAAAGGCAGGACTTGAACCTGCTGTCCGCCTTCTGAGCACGAGCCTTTGCCCCACCCCGAAGCTGGCCACGCCAGCAAGCACATTCAGACTACGGCTATGAAGAACCAGCTCTTCTGAACGTGGGTGGAGCTGGGTCACCTTGAACGCGTCTGCGAAGCCCTGACGCACATGCACAGCCAGAGCCAGCCTGCAGGAGCACGCCTGGGGTTCCGTCCCATCTCTGCCCCAGGGACGCCCCACAGAGGCACGTGTGGTGGCATGCATGTAACGGCGAGATCTGCTTGTGGGACTCAGCCCGGACCCCTTCGAACCACGTTCTTTGCTCTTCTTCCTGTGGTTCTCACACTCCTTGTTCTGTGCCTCGGCCTCCCCAGCTCTAGCAAAGGTTCAATTGGAAACCAAACAAAACAGAGGCCCTTGAGTGCCGAATTCATGGTGTGAAAACACTACTCGGACCCCACCGTGAATGAGCTCCCCAGTGCCACCCATCTGGCCTGGCCCCTCTCCCCACTTCCCTGGGAGCCGGGAGCCAGAAGGCTGTTGACGCTGCACATCGACAACTTCAATGAGCTGGCTGAGCGCTGGGCCTTGGGACAGCACTGTTTACACTAGCCGGGAACAATGACTCTCCAGCACTGGTGAATAATTTGAAACAAATGCAAGGCCGTGTAAACATTTCTTTTCCCCACTCCCAAATGACAAAGCCCCAAGATTAAGCAGGAGGGAAGAGGGGGCTGCCCCCTCTGCACCCTTTTCCACTGTGGTCCAAACACACACCTCCCTCAAGCTGGGCAGGAAACCACGGTCTCAGAATCCCTTTGGGTAGCCTGTGGTCATGACCAACTTCTCTAGGGGCTGGATGAAGGGCCTGATGCCCACTTCACACCCTTCACGCCCCAGGGCTCAGCCCCCAGACGGCACTCACAGTGAAGTCTGGAGAGTGGCCAGTGGGAGGGGCTGGGTCCGTGAGACAGCTACCCGTGGGCCTGGGGGAGGCTCGGTTGACCTGGGGCAGAGCACTATGGGAAATACCTAACCCCCAGCCCTCCTGAGGGGGGCAGCCGGGCACACATAGTTCCTTGGCCCCCATAGGACTCAGAAAACTCTGGGATGAGAGGTCCCGCATGGCCAGGAGGAAGCCTACATCTGGAAGTCAGACAACCTGAGTTCTGGCTCTGGCCCGTGGCCTATGGCAGGTGCTCAGGCCTCATCTGCAGAGGAAATGCAGACTGCGCCCCCCAGGAAGCCCTCCTGGATTGCGGGAGGCACACAGCCCTCGTCCCTCTCTCCCGTGGAACTGTTCTGTGCACGGATGGGCCCCAGTGGGGGAGTCCCACCCCACCACGCCCCTACCAGGGAGCATCGGGGTCGGATGCACAGGGCCGGCAGCCTGGACAGAGAGGTCAGGACTCGCCAGCGGGGCATGCAGGGTCTGTCTTCACAGATCTGCACCAGAGCTCCACGCCAGGGGCAAGTTTCTTACCAGACAGATTCTCAGATGAGAAAATGGAGACCCCAGGAGGGGAAGAGATATGCCTAATGCTATAAAACAGGAAGAAGAGGGAATTGAAGCCAGATGAGTGCGGGTCCAAAGCCTTTCCCTGCTCTTCTGTGATTTGGCTTCTCTCAGTGAGGACACTTAAGTCCAATCATGGCAACCAGAGTTGGTTCCCTGAGTGTTTCTGCTTAATACACCAGCCCTGATCTTATGTGCTCGTGTCTCCCAAACTCCTAGTCTCTGAAGTCTCCCTGGTGCCCAGCAGAAATTGCTCACCCCTATGCCCGGACTTGCCCTGTCCTGGACCTTGGGCTTGGTCATCCTGTATCTGCTCTGGGCTGAGGAGAGACCCAAGTCTCCCCTATATGCCCGCTCCCAGTGGCTGGTCAGATTGAGTAGGCACTAAGGATTAGCAGGATAAACTGAATGGCACCTGTGTGCTTGTACATGCCAGTGATGGGGAGCTCACTAGCTACAAGGCCAGTCCCCTGGTACAGACAGCCATCCTGGTTCCTTCTGGGCACACAGAGGGGTGCATTCAAGGCTCTCCACGGTGTGCCACCTCTCCTGTAGCAGCACCCACTTCTGCTGTTCTCTGAACATACCCTTTGTTCACACTTGCCTTTGTATGCATGCACGTACCTCCTCCTGGGGTACCCTCTCCCTCCTCATCCAGACTGATGTCCTTGCCTTCAAAATTCACCTGAGATGATTTTGTCCATTCATTCCCTCTATAGACCCTGAGTGCCTGCTATGCGCCACCCTCCCCAGGAGCTGCAGGCGTCAGTGAATATCTCCGTTAAGTCCCCGTTCACCAAGCTGCTGCGGGACCAGCCCTGAGCATAGAGAACAATGGCGAGCTGGGCCCAGGAGGGCAGGGAGATTCGTGCCATGAGGCTGGAGGACCGAGAGGTGTTGTGGAAGCAAAGCCTTGTGGGAATGATAGGGCATAGGTGGGGAAGAGCCAGTGAACCCCTGGGCAGAAGAGGAGCTCTGAAAGCTTCGTGGCCTGCACGCCCCCTGTTGAGGAGACCCCAATGGCTCTCACAAACCCTGGCTCTGTCTGGACCCCACTGACCCCCATTCCCTTCAGTGCTGCTTGGGGGAAGAAGCCCGAGCACCATCAGCCAGTGCGGCCTCGGGCAGAGGCTGAGCCCGTGTGCGGGGAAAGCGTCCGTCTCTGCACCCTGCTGGAAGCTCTTGGTCCTCCCTCTTCCTTCATGGCCACAGCAGAATGAATATTCCCAGAAGTCAGGGAGCTCCTGGGCACAGGGACTTAGCTGCAGAGCAGAGAGGAGGCCCTGTAGGTTTGGGGGCAGGCTCTGGGCTCACAGTGGGAAACTCTCTTCACTGGCAACGGAGGAACGGGGGGATGTATTGTGGTGGCCAGACTGCAAA